CTCCAGAGAGTGTGATTCACTTGGTTTCCTTCTTTCAACTGCGAAAACAAAAGCCATGTGGCACGGTCGTGTTGTACCTCCACCCCTTCTCTTATCAGGAACGCCCTTGGACTGGGTTAATGAGACAAAATAGCTGGGTGTGTATGTAACTCGCACACGTTGTCAGATCCCTGAAGTCCGCTATCTTCGAGACATATGCTTTCGGCGTATCGCTCCCCTCTCTACCATGTGCAGGGGTTCCTTTGGTGCCACCATCCCCGTACTTCTCACCATGTACAAGTCCTTTGTCCGTTCCTGTGTCGACTACGCCGCCCCTGCCCTCGTCAACATTAGTCGGACTGCTGTCAACCGTCTCGAAGTTATCCAGAGGAAAGCTGCTCGTATCATCCTTGGGGCTCCTCAGTGGACACGCTCTACTTCTCTATATACCGAACTTGGTCTTTCCCCCTTACAGGATCGTGTCCAGGAGTTTTACCTAAAAACTGCCGTTTCCATTCTACGGGATCCTCGGGGCAACTATGTCCAAACCAACTTGACCCCTGCTGTCCGAGACCGACCTCCATCTAGAAGACAGTGGCGTTGGTCACTCATCCGAGCCCTTCAGGAACACGACCTCCTGTCTGATATTGTTGTCACCCCTGCTGTTGGTTCGTCTCCTACTCCCTGGCTGGATTTTCAACCTGAAGTGATTGCCCTCGGTGGACCGCTCCCGAAATCCCAGGTGAACCTTGTTATTCTCTGCAAATACCACCTCTCCAGGATCGCCCACTGGTCCCCAGGTAGGGTCGTCCTCTACACTGATGGTTCTGTTGACCCCGCTACAGGTAGGGCCGGGGCTGGTGTCTACATCTCCCGTCCTGATGCCCCTGAGCCTATCAAACTGTCTCTCAGAGTTTCTGACGGGGCATCCTCCACTCAGGCTGAACTAATAACCCTCCTTGCTGCCCTTCTCGCTGAGGAAGAAGCAGATGGTTTCTGCCCCTTGCTTGTCTGCTGCGATTCCAGGTCTGCTCTCGACGGGATCGCATTTGGATCAGGGGAAAACAAGGACCTCATCCTCCGAATACGAGGGTTAACATCCACACTTCAGGATGCAGGCCGTCCTGTGACATTCCTATGGATACCCAGTCATGTCGGTATCTTGGGGAATGAGGCAGCAGATGGCCTTGTCAAGACTGGCTGCAACAAGGCCACACCTGACTACGTTGTTCCTCGAACACTCTTACAGCTTAGGACCCAAATTCGCCGCAAACAGAGAGAAGCTCGGGAAGCAGCCATCCCCCTGGACTCCCCGCCCACCTGGTACGATGTCCTCCGTAAACTTCCTGACCTCTCCTACGTCTACGGGAAAGGGTCGCGGAAAGGGGACGTGATTGCTGCCCGTATCATCATTGGGTATGAATTTGCTTGGGAGATTGGTATCCCCGCATCCCCTGAGCAACGCTCTTATGTATTATGCAGAAGACCCGACAGCAGCACCCTTCTCCACTACCTCCTAAGATGTCCCCACACACAACGCTTCCGTGACGCCTGCTGGACCACCACTCCACGACCCCCTGACGGAGACACAATGATCCTCTCCATACTGGCCAGATATTTTGTAAATAATATTGATTATGTGTTAAAGGAATATCCTTCCTTCCTTAGGCTTTAGGAAGCCCCTTTATAATATTTATACTGTATATACTTGTCACACTTGCCAGATGATTCTGGTGTCATTGTACAGGGGTACCTAGTGACAGCACTAGGATTCCGCTTCCTCTATCAAGGAATAAACAATTGAAATTTAATTGAAATTGAAATTGATGCAACTCGCCAGTAGCGTCGGTTAAACTCCGGCTCCACGGTGCTAGAAGGCGGATCAGTGACCCCGCACTCTCACTCTCCCTGGAGCATCTTGTACTCAGATATTAATCCGGCTGTATTAAAGATATCCTGCTTCGGACATCTTGCCTGCATGCAGCTATCGATACTCGATAGCGGCAACTCACACACAGGGCCTAGGGGACGCTGAGTAGTGAGTCGAGAGTGGAGACCGCTCAAGTGCTCATCTAGTGCACTCAGTTATATATGACCCTATGGCAACTCAAGAACGCCAGGATGTCATCTCAACAATTTACGTACATATTCATTTAACCCAGTTGCGATAAACCTTGGGCTATTATATAATCAGTGTTATGGGTCAGATCAATTTCTTAGGGCTATTGTTTACAATCTAATCAGTGCTCGAGCTTGCAACGCAATAAATAAACTAAAAAAAGTGTGTCGACTGGTATTCACACTGTGCTGACAAGACATAAGATGGTCAAGGGACTAGTGACTTCTCACCGTTAAATTTTAGGGCAATGAAGAGTTGACATATTTCTTTCAAATACACATCTGACAATAATTTCAATTCTGTCATCAGATTCTCTGATGAATATGAATTAAAACAATCTGACTTCAGTGGCAAATCGAACTCTAGTACGTCTCAGAGGGCAGGAATATGATTATCACACTCCCTGGCAAACTAACACTCGACTTACGTGACAATTTTACGAAAAGTAAATACAGTTGAAGCTTTCAGCATCACTCAATGGATCTTGAATGTTTCAGCTGTAAGCAAGTATATCTATCTTACAGTGACACAGAAACATTCAATCGTGAATTTAAATATTCTACATCAACATGGGATACAATAGATTCTGAAATACTTGACAGAAAACAAACGTCTCGGTATCACTGAAGCAGCGAGAAAACGGACGTCTTAGTAGGGGGACTCATGAATAAATTATAGCTACATGTTTTATGGGCTATTTAGTGTAATATGAATCGTCTGATTTTATGTTAACTAACATGCATGACTGTGGTCAGTACACCTGAACGGTTAATAAGCTGATAAATGGTGAATCAAGCAATCAGAGTACCGTGCTCATCTGATGGTTGGTGACCACAGCCCTCTAAACGTTTTGGGCCTCTTCGAGTACATCGTTCTAAATGTCTTTTGGTCTACAGAACGCCGCTCAAACCTTCCAGAGATACATGGACCACACCCTACGTGACCTGGATTTCGTCACCATCTACACAGATGATGTCCTGGTCGCTTCCTGCACCCACGTCGAACACCATCCCCATCTGCGCCTCCTACTTCACTGCCTTCAGGAGCACATCAAGGTTCAACCTGCCTCTTCCCTTAACTTCCTCGGCCACAGAGTTTCGCCTGTTGGCATACAACCTCTCCCGCAGAAGGTGGCAGCCATACAAGAATGTCCGAAACCTACGACTACAAAGAAGCTCCGGAAATTCTTGGGAATAGTCAACTATTATCACTGTTTCATCGCCCAGGTTGCTGATATTCTCGCCCCGCTCTACGGAGGACCACGATCTCCTCAGAGGCATTCCTAAGTCATCCCGCCAGCATTTCACCTGGTCCTTGGAGGTACAGTGGTAACGAGCGTAACTCTCACCAATATGTCAAGGGTTAGAGCCTTGACCCAGACACAAATAAGCCCCTCCCCCCCCCCTTGATTTTTTTATCTGACCAATATCGTGGGCATTTTGAAGCCATGCGCACTTTATAATAGGTCATTAGGATATACTCTGAAGTTAATAGTAAATAATTTTTACTATACAAAAATTCCTGAGTACAATACTGCATTAAAGAAAAAGTATTGGAATTTTCTGGTGAAAGGGGGGTCAGGACCCCCCTGGATCCGCCCTTGGGCCTTTGTTATCCAGTGTGACCCTACCATACATCATAGTTCCCTGTCCCCGGTTTCTTCTTGTACTAACACTGGATAGACCGCCCAAACGGCGAGTAAGCTGATAAGTGGCAAACATGATAAATGAATAAATAAAGGGCCACATCGCACGCCTCATTCTACTCTCCCACCCTGCCCCGGGACTGTCCTCATACAGATGCCTCGTCTACCACAGTGGGCGCCGTCTTACAACAGGAAATCAGTGGATACCTCAGGCCCATTGCCTTCTACTCACAACGACTCCAACCCATTCCACCTCAAATACAGCGCCTTTAGTCACGAGCTCTTGGATATATACGTATTATATATACCTTGCGGTCAAGCGATACAGTCATACAGATACATTCTGGAACCATTACTCGCCAACAGTCTGTAACAGAGAAGTGAACGACTGCCCAAGGGGCAAACTAGTCGATCAGTGACGAAGAGGATAAATGTAGTAAAACTTAAGTAAAAAAGTCGTAGTTTTCTTTTTTCTTTTATCCTCTTCACCACTGATCGGCTCGTTAGCCGCTTGGGCGATCGGTCACGTCTCTGATTACTTTTCCTGTGTGTGATCTAGAGATCCGTAAAATTGTAGAGAGGTAGTAATTAGAATTATAGAGCGATGCACACAAAGGTAGAATGATATAGAGAAACAGATACGATGGTGGGTAATTAGACAAGAAAATATCTGTTGGTGCAATTTAATTAAGTGGTACCGCGAGTATCTTAATACAATGTCGTGGGTCCGAGTCAGGACACATGGGAAGGGTGTTATCCAGTGTGACTCTACCAAACATCGCAGGTTTCCTTACATTAATCTGGATTCCTCCTGTACTAACACTATACAAAAAGTTCATAAAGAACATACAAACTGCCCGAACGGCCGCTGGTGAGACAATTGGAAAATGGCTAGTGTTGAAGATCCAACCGCGAACCCGTTGTGTCTTTCAATTTACACGAGCGAGTCGTTTAAACCAATTGAAAATTGCTTTAGGATCGTTAAGTTGAACGTATTATGCTGAGTTTCTTAAGGGCTCTCTGCTTCCTTATATTACTTGTAATGTAAGTTAATAAGATGTTAGAATTGATTTTTTGCTGCTGAGAAATATATATATTTATATTTATACATATGAATGGTTCAGTGGCCTTCTTCGTGGTATTTATTTTAGCAATTTTTCCGTGATTAGTTAAAAATTAGGTCGCTGATTGGTTCTATTAGGTTATGTTCGTCTATGAAAAAAATACTAGTTCGGCGGCTGAGTTCGAGGTAAATTCACTAACATTCTTCCTCTTGCTGCCTTTGGTCGTTGTGACGTCACGCAATACAATAAGTTGTCGTGCAGTAAGAGTGTTATCCCGGACGACCATATATGTTAATACTGTGAAGTTGTTTGGTGTTGATGTGTCATGGCCGCCAGTGATGGTGTGTGACGTACGGGGAGTCAGTATGTGGTGGTAAGTTATAGTGTCAAAGTGTTGTTGGTTACCATCGACCCGCTAGTGTTAGGCTCACAGGTCCTCTGGTAGCTACAGACAGGGTGTCAGCCGCTCTGTGATTAGAACAGTTTTTAACGTCAGCGTAGCATGATTTGTTAAAATGGCTATTGCTAAAGGACAATTAATGCCAGTTGGCATGTACGTGATTGTCTGTCATGATGATGAATACATAAGTTCTTTCCTTTGATTTATAATGAAAAAAATATATATTTATATGTAAATAGGGTAATAGCTTACAAAATCATTCTGTTAGAAGGAACAACTTTAGGGAAAGTATTTTAGAAGAAAACTTGTTTATTACCTTATGAATTTTAAAAAAAGTTTGGAGGAATTGTAACTTAACGGTACCGTATTTATTTATTTTTTAAGTTTTTGTTCAGTTAAACTATTGACACCTTTGTCATCAATTGACCCTTACACTAAGCAAATGAACACTTCCCCAAATAACACCCAAACCAACCCTGTCTAACTTAACCTAAAATAATGCACTTCCACTCCAGGCTTGGTACCTATGTCCATTAGCTAGGTAAGGTTTGGTTGGTTGCCTTTTTTTATGGAAAATGAGCATCTGGTTGACTGATGATGGCCACTGCACAAATGTGGCACTAAAATATGGAGACAGTTCTTTATATATACATATAATGGTTGCCCCTCGTGTAACGAGGATAGCTGCTCAAGAGCCACCAAGGCGTGAATTTGTTTGGGTGCTGGACAACTCGTATCCATCAGAGCATGTCAACTCGAACCCAATTTACGAGACCGTTTGTACCTATATATATATATATATATATATATATATATATATATATATATATATATATATATATATATATATATATATATATATATATATATATATATATATATATATATATATATATATATATATATATATATATATATATATATATATATATATATATATATATATATATATATATGTTTATATTCATCTCTGCTGCTCCCAAGATGTCTTGAATAAAGACTAAGCTAAGGCAATTCGTTGTTTCCATTTTCCGGGATTTTATCAAGATTTATCTTATCCACGTTTTCATTGTGGATACAGATATATATATATATATATATATATATATATATATATATATATATATATATATATATATATATATATATATATATATATATATATATATATATATATATATATATATATATATATATATATATATATATATATATATATATATATATATATATATATCATGTAGATCCACAATGGAAATGTGGACAAGCTTGATTTTAATATATGAATAGCAATGTGTTTTTAAAAATAAGTGTTTATTTGACCTTAACTGTAACAAATTAATAGAAAATACGTCTGCTCTCTCTCTAAATAGGAGACCAATATCATGGGCATTTTGAGGCCAGGTGCACGTGATATTAGGAGATATTCTGAAGTCAATAGAAATTACTTTCCACTATACAAAAATGCCTGAGTACAATACTGCATTAAAGAACAAGTACAGTATTGGTATTTTCTGATGAAAAGGGGGGATCAGGGCCCCACCCCCAGGATCTACCCATTTGTACTGTTTTATTAGTGAAGGTAAATAAGCACTGGAGCCGGTTCAGATACATTCAGGAGCCGGTGCATGCCCAGTACTGTACTTGCCAACAGTGTGTAACAGAGATGTAACCGATCGCCCAAGCGGCAACGAGCCGATCAGTGGTGAAGAGGGGAAAAAAAAAAATACTTAGTTGAACAATATCTAACTTACCAGTATCTTTTATGCAGTGGCAAATCCTGACCTAAGATCTTGAGCATGCTCTCGATTTTTTAGAGCGGGGAGGGGGGGGAGGGTGCTGTACCTAGGTGGTTTAACATTAAATTCTATTTTGAGATAATATGATAATAAAAGCTTTCAAGTAGGCCTGTGCATGCCATTGTGTTATTAACTTAGCCTGCTACTTATTCTCTCTTTTAAATTTAAAATAGCCTAAAAAGGGAAAGGAAAAGTATTTGAAAAAGTGAAATAAATTAAAAAACAATTTAATTGTATTTTAGTACTGTATATAAATGTGTACAAAAGTCTTGCCTTTCTCCTTCTCCTTGGTTTCTTCTCCCCTTTTCTTTCCCATTCAGGCTTTCACTTATAAACGAACTCCATCCTCCTATTTTTTTCAATAAATTTTTCAGTCACTTCATCATAAAATGTATGCTTTATTTTCAAGTGCCCAAGCAGAGTTTTTCAATTGACGTCAACGCCAATGACAAAGTATTCAAATAATCAAAACCAGTTTTCGACCATACACTGTGATCATTTGAAAAGAGCAAACACGGCCAGCAGAAGAGTTTGTTTAACTTATTTGAGCCGGTCAACCAATGCGTGCTTTCGTACTGCATAATATTACAATGCCTAACATATTCTTTGTTTTTATCTGTATGCTTCTTTGTAAGTCCTGGAATTCGTGGACATGGTCTACGTTTTCCTACGATTTCAATTTTCTCTGAAATGTTTCTTCTCGAAAACGGCTTTTCCAGCAGTTCCTTAACTCAACAAGTTTCCTCTTCTACCACAGTTTCCATCGCAAGTAGAATACAGTATTTATAACACTATAAGTCTATAACACTCGGGTAGCAAAAGCATCACAACACACACGAGCCGAAGAATGTAAACAACACGCACGACCCACACGGACTCGTGGGTGGAGTGACACTGATGCGTCACTGCCTGGCGCATCATATCTGCCATTTCACCGTGGTATGACTGTGACGTCAGCGAGCTGCGCGCGCAGGCTTTCATCGAGGTGAAACAGCCCCTATCGATGCACTTGGGAGAGGAGCTAGCCCCGGCCTCACTCCCTTACACAGTACTGTTACTAAGCGCTAGGCTGCATTTTAGAGTATAAGTGTAAATTTATTATTCAAGATGAATAAACAAACAAAAAGCTCTGAGCTGTGAGCATGTGCCGCATGCCTAGCATGCTCAGAGGATTCACCACTGCTTTTATACCTTGTCCTTAAATCTTTCAGTAATTATTGTCTCATGTGCTTGTTACAAAATCTTCTCCTTGTCTCTGCGATTCTCTTCTGTTAGCAAGTTTCCAGTAACTATACAATACTGTTCTGTCTCTTGATTACTGACTTATAATTGCAGATGATGCAAGACACTTCAGGAACTTTTTCAATCCCAAATTAAGACTCATGATTCAGGGAAGTACATCACGTCCTATTATGCAGCCTCAGACTCTTCAGGAGCTGTGAGTATTGGATAAAAGTACTGTATTGTATTTTAATCATACATGGCTGATTGATAGTTCCACTGGTTATGATGTTTTTTAAATATTGTACTGGCATCCTTCACATTATTAATTATTCATTTATGAAAATTTGCTGTTACAAAACATGAAAATTAAAAAGAATAAATTCTGATTTACAAAGCAAAATTTCATGCTTAAGAAATTTGCTCTGATGTGATGCACCTGGATTTGTTTTATTATTATTTCTCAGGTAACTTTCTGTATTTTACTAAATATATAATAACACTAAGATAAAAATAACATTGAAAGTGTTCTAATCATCTTGGCTCACAGGATTAGTACAGAAATCTATACCAGACACTGACCCAGGGATCTCGGCTGTGGAAGCATTGATATTTAACTAACCTAACCTATCCTAACCCAACCTAATAAAGTCTTATCAAACATAGACTAACCTAATCTACTCCCCCTTCTGTGGTGTTAGGTTGTTTGATCATCAGGTGAAGTAAGCTGGAATTCAATACCTTATCTTCAGGTGATCCATGGTTAGTTTATTATAGTTCTTAATTTTTCGTTGCAGGTGTCTGGATGAGGCTTGCTTGATACCCACAGACTCCTACACAAGACTACCATGGACTTTAAAGGACCAGCTCTTAAAAAAATTAACCAGAAGAGGCAAATGCACTGATGATATTTTTTCTTGGCTTATTCATTCACGTGTTACTGAACTTGGTAAGAAGAAGTCAGTGATAAGTTTTTATTTTCCTAATTTAACTCAACCAAAGCTAACTTAAACTAATAATAAAATAATTTTTTCTTAAAGAACTCAACCAAATAACCTAACCTACCTTACTCAAAGTAACATAACTTATAAGACAAAGTAATCAAACTTTATCTAGCAAAGTAACTTAACTTAATATAATAAAGTAACTTAATCAAGCAATTTAACCTAACCTATCTCACCATAGTTTAGGGAATGTTAGCTTGTACAGTATATGGGATTATTGTATGTTGTTACACTTACAGGGGTATACAGTACAGTGGTGAAAATTAAAGATCCTTTTATGAGACATAACCACTGTATCTCCATGGGTGTCACATTTTACTTCTTCCCACTCTACCAATTTTCATTATTTTAACAAAATCTTACCTGTCCTGACCTAACATTACCTTAACCTTTGTCTTGGCAATTCTGCATTGTTTCATGAAAATTTAAATGTGTTTATCTTAACGATAATGGCAGTACACTACACTTTAGACACTTTATGTATGTTTTCAGAATACCATATTCCATGAAAATGTCAATTGTAGCAGCATTATTTACAAAAACATGTTGAATGGCTTGCAATTCTGAGAAAGAGCATCCTTTGCACAAAGAAGCCATCTTGCAACTGACAAATTTCAATTCAAAAGCCTGAGCATGCACTGGAGTATAACATGACACCGAGACTTTCGCTGATTGGCTGGACATAATAATGAAGTGAGTAAGATGTCCACAATATATTCCACATAGTACTTGTTAGTGTGAACTTAAAACCCTCCAAATTGTACTTTTTAAACTGAAATAAAACAATCAAAATACTGTACAGTGACTGGTAATATATAAATTTTGAGATGAAAGCACTATAATGTTTGTTTGTTTTTCTGCTCTATCTCCCTTTATGAAAATGAACATTGAACTCTGTGGTTATATTCTACTGATTCTTAACAGTTTGGTTTATCATGAAACAACAAAATTGCCAAGACAAAGGTAATGTTAGGTAAAGTTTGGTTGGGTAGATAAAGATAGCTTAGGTAAAGTTAGGTTTGGTCAGGTCAGGTTTGTTAGGTTTGGTTTGGATATTTTTTTTGGTTTTACCATACAATTTGGATTGGGTTGGTTAGGTTTTCATGAATTTGCCCAAGAAATGAATGTGAAGTCTAATCAAAATACATCAACATATACAGTACTGTAGAGTACAAGGAAAAACAACTTCATCCTAAACGTTATGGGTGCTCCTAAAACCAATAGTAACCCAAAACTTAAGTTCCAGCCTTATATTTTTGACAATACAACAATAACCTGCTCATTTTATATACTGTATCTTAACTCTTTGGCTGCAGGAGGTTACCCTAAGCCGGTGTTTTTCAAACTTTTTTTACTGCGACCCACAGCCAGAACAACAATTTGAATTGCGACCCATTAAACCTAAGTGTAATGATATGAAATGAGTAAATCAAAGACAAACACTGCTCTCCTTGCAGTCGCTTCCTAGACTGTGGAGTGTACATTACAATAACCAAGCCTAAATTATGGTGCATTTATTTTTATTTTCTTATTTATTTTCGCGACCCATTTTATTTTTATTTTTCGTATTTATTTTCGCGACCCATTTTCATTTTGCGACCCAATTTATTTATTTCGCAACCCACTGCCCTAAGCTGAAGAAAATCATCTGACGTTAGCCAGAATATAATGGCCAGTGCGGGAAATGCAGCGAAAGGGTTAAAGTTGCTGTGCTGTTAACTAGCAGTTATGAAGAGTGGAACGTTATCAGTACTAAATGCATTAAATAAAGAAAGAGCTCATAAAAACTAATGAACAGTCAGCAGTCAACATTGACAAAAGTAGGTGTATGACTCCTCTCTGGATCTTAATGAAAATTGAAAGAAAGACAGGTTTCTGTTCCTTACAGGGTTGGTAGAGCACTTAATTGCTGCACAGTACCAGGGTCCCATTTCAATTATAAAAAATAATAGAAAAAACAGGATTTTGCTGAATTTTTCGCATTCCTCCCTTTATCCCATGCTTGGTAATTATTTTGTTTACTGTACTTTCTGGCTGCTTGGTGGCACCACATTGGAGGGGGTGATTGTCTTCACCCATTGGATTGAGCTAACCTCCTGTAGTCTCGGAATACTTGCTACATTCCAATGTACCAAAACTTCCTCAAATTATTGTTTTTATTTCTTTTGTGTAATGAATTGATGTGAATCACTGTGGATGGTAAAGATAGTGAATATCAATTTGAATAAAGGATCAAGTATGTGTGGGTATATCTACTGTACTGTATTTGTTAACTTTGATCTGTCCTTTTGCTGTCTACACTTGTTTTGCATTGCTCTTATATCCCCCCCCCCTTCTTTGAGGTTTCATATCCCTTGATCCACTCCTTAGAGAGAACATAGATACTATTAATAAGAGTTTTTTATGTTTTGCAGATTTGCATGCCTGTTTAATCTCAGATGCTGGGGTGGAGTACCTGAAGACAACAAAGTGTTTGAAAGTTTTGTATATGCCTGAACCACCAGTTGTTGAGAACAATAATTTTTCAGAGAATTGTAAGTATCACTTCACATTAATATTTATTATTCTGTTAATGAAACTATCCTCTATCATCTGTACCTTACAAATGTGATAACTGAAGCACACTGATCAATTGCTAGAATAGTGATGTACCTTCAACCATAATGGCAGTCCAGTGGCATTTGGGTGACCCACCACAACCAGCTTCAGGGATACCCTTCCATGCGCAACATGGCACTAAAGCTGGCCACATGGTATTATGCACTTGATGGTGGAATAGCCTATACTATCAAGCTGAAGTGCCAGCCTGTGAAATGCTCACCCAGTACCCATTGTACTGGCAGCATACCAGCCCAGAAAATGCAGTAGAGACCAGGGGATGGGTACATCCCTGATTGTCCCAGCTGCCACCAGACATGTTGAAGCAAAGCTTTCACAGCTGGATGCCCTTCCTAATGCCAACCCACAAGGCGGGAGTAGCTGGCACGGCAGGGTCACAACTCCCTGAGGTAATCAAAACTACCAGCTAACTCATAACAATTACAAAAATTTCAACTTTTTTACTCCTAATTAATAGTGACTTTGGGTGCAAAACCCAGGTGAGCCAAAGGGCACCCCAGTATACCTGTATTGCATCCAGATACTTTTTTTGTAATGTATGTTGTGCTAATACACAGCTTATACATAATTTCTTCATATTTATTAACTGATGAACCTGTTTTTCAGCACTGATGGGACTAGGTGAAGGAAAATCAATGTTAAGAGTGGTTGCACTTAATGGTCTTTGTGGAGTGACAGATGGTGTCATTGGATCACTGGTAGGAGGATGTCCTCAGCTGCAGGAAGTACACATCTCATCCACAAGTATTACCAACCATGCTCTTACTGCTCTAGCAAATCTAACACAGCTTGTCTGCTTGAATATTGGCAAAACACAGGTATAGTATTAGTATGAGCATTTGCTGGTAGTCTGTCCTGTCAAAAGAACATCCTGCTTAAGTTCTTTTGGGTGCATTGCAACAAACCATATTTAAGTTCTTTATACACAGTTGAACAACATAAATTTTTTCCTAGGCCAGGAGGATCAGCAATTCCATTGTTGGCTGTGGATATCTGTCTTTCTATTTACTTTACTCCAACTTCTGATGGGGTGGAGTAAGAGGTACTGAAATGTAGAATATATAATCATAGTACTGTACTGTATTTTATTTTCTACAAATTTTTATGCTATAACTGTTCCTTCAGTTCTTGTAAAGACAATTAGATTATTATTCAGTCTATTTTGTGGAATAATTTCATATGTACTGTGATACTGTTCATTTATTGTATACTCCTGCTCATGATATTTACTGTCCTTTGATTGCCTTGAAATGTACCAGAAATATTCTAAGTAACATCCATTTAGATTTATTTTATTTCTTGTTACCCATGGAGATAAGGTGTGCAGTTAGCAACTACTGTAAATTAGTACTTAACTATTGTAGTTTAGTACCTAACTTCAAGAAAATCCCCAATGTATTCCTAAAACAAGTGAAATCAGTTCAGTGACAAGAAATAATATTGTCTTTACAAGAACTGAAGGAACAGTTAAAGCATAAAAAATGATAGAAAATAAAATACAGTACAATACTATGTTTTATATTCTCCATTAAGAGAAAAAGGCAGTACAGTACAGTTTTGTACTCTTTTATTATGTCTTTTAGTGTTCTATTTTGAGTGGCAGTCAAGCAAGTTGCCTTCTCTCGAAAAAGAAGCTTTACAACCAACACTCACCGTGTACTGTACATTTGTACTTGTGTCTTGCAGGGAGACAATATTGATATGATTTAAGGACCATGGGAGTTTGCACCCACCAAATTATGGGTAGCATACAAGAATTATATCTAAATGATTACGAGTAAGTAGGTGGTGACATATAGTGGTGAGTGACACTCCCTGTGGTAGGAGGTCCCTGACAGTGGAACAGTCAAGGCAATACAGTAGTGTTGAAAGGCATTAGTGTTGAGACAGTTACAGAGTTTACATGAAGAAAAGTGCGGGTCAGCCCCCACCTCGGATCATACCAGATAGGTCTGTATCCTAACCTAATGCGAGCAGAGACAACATTATGTCTGCGGACCATAAGTCCACGTTGACGATATTTGTGTGGGTAAGGAAGAAAGTGATCATAGTGTTGGATGGATATACTCTCGGCCCGTTCACTATCCCTGTTGAACGTACAGTATTCTCTTTCAGTAGGTCATGCTGGGCTTATATTTAGACTTAAAAGATCCTGATTGGAAGTCATAATTTTGAGAATCCAGTACAGTACAGTACTGTATTAATTAATCTCTATAGAAAGATTTGAAAATATACATGTGTAATGCTGTCTTATTTTTATCTTTAGTTAATTATTTTTTATAAGTAACTGGATTTATTTTAATATTTGAGACAATAATTTTTTTGTTACTTTTTACTTTCAGTACTTGAGTACTTTATGAATAAGATCATTCTTTTACTTCTGCTTGAGTGACATTTTGCCAGTGTAACAATACTTTTACTTCAGTAACAAAGTCTGTTACTTTATACAACTCTCTCTCTCTCTCTCTCTCTCTCTGTAGTGTGAAGACTGGCTGTCTATCTGGGCCCGGTCTGGGGTAAATACACCAATTCCCCAATTAGCGTCCTGTTTAGGTTCCTGAAAACTACGACTTTTAGTGAAACCGATTTTACCAAAGAGACAATGATATAAATAGGGGCTATGTTCCTTGGGTACTTTTCTGGTCAAAATTTTCAAACACAGTTTATGAATAAAGAGCAAAAACAATACTTCTATATTCTAAATATTAATAAATGTGTATACTACACATCCAAATAAGATTAATAAATACAAATAAGATAATATTTACTTGATGGCTGATGCAGTAGTGAACATAGTGGTGGGGATTGGTAGGGAGGCTACTGGGGCCCCACTTGCCCCTCATCATCACTGTTCGGTAGAGGAGAATCTGGGTCGTCGTCATCACTGGAGGTGTCCACTTCAAATTCCTCAACTGTGTTGTGAGAAATGCTTGAGGGGCCTGGTTTCACCTCAGGGCGAGGTGGTGTTGCTGTTGCTAGATCTTGTTTTTGTTTTGCTTGTTGTTCGGAGGGGCATTTAAAAAAGTGTGCATTTTTTTTTTTTTTCAATTCCATGTAACAGTTGTATGCATTTGTTATTTTTCTATTGGCTTGTGAACTTCTTTCTCTTTGAGGGTCTTTTTCAGTGAAAATTGCCATAGCTTTTTCCAAATACTCAAAAGCTTCAGACAAATCTTTTATTGGTAAGGATCGTGCGGGTAATGCCTCTTCACTTTCATCGTCCACTTGCTCAGCTGCTCGTTGTTGTTCCATCTGCATGAGATCATTATTTGATAATTCTTCACCATGTGATTCAAATAATTCCACTACATATTCTACTTCTACCTCATTTAACCCAGCTTGCTGTGCCAATCCAGCAATCTCTTCATGAACTTTGCTTATTGGCTGGTCAAATCCAATGAAATTACCGATGCATTCTGGCCAGATTTTACGTCAAAACATGATTTATATTTGTTGATTTCACTTCCTGCCCTGCCTCAGACAGATTTTCGATCACTTTCATGATGTGGTAGGCACACCAAAATTCCATTACAGTGGGCCTATTTTCACCATTTGTGAACTCAGTTAATTGTTTGAACGCGTGCCTCAAATAATAATAGGCCTTGAAGGTCGATATAACCCCCTGATCCATAGGTTGAATCATGGAAGTCGTGTTTCGAGGCAGAAAAATCACTTGGACATTATCTGACAAGTCATCCGGGTGTGGTGGGTGGCCTGGAACATTATCTAAAATCAGCAATGCTTTGTGTTCATGGTTATTTTTCTTACAATATTCCTTGACAGTTGGGCAGAAATGTCCAGTAAACCACTCTTCAAACACTGCTCTAGTGACCCAGCCCTTTTTTGTTGACTGCCAAACAACAGAAATATGAGCTTTAGAGTAGCCTTCATAACCCTTGGTGTCTCAGCATGATAAACAAGCAATGGCTTGAACTTAAGATCTCCTTCAGCATTACCCCCAAGCAGGAGAGTCAGGCGATCTTTGGCTGCCTTGAAACCAGGTGCACATTTCCCTTCCTTTAAAATGTATGTTCTGGCTGGCATTTGTTTCTAAAATAGACCTGTTTCATCTACATTGAACACTTGTTGTGGTGGTGTGTATCCACCATCTTCAATTCCTTTTTTCAATACTGCTGGGTAAGTAGCAGCTGCTTATTTATCTGCATTTGCAGACTCACCTGTAATGTGTATGTTGTGCAAGTTAGAACGTTCTTAGGTCATTCAAACCACCCATGACTTGCCACAAATGTTTGACTTTCAGCACCATCACCTTCTTGTTTTAAAGTTTCAAATAATCATAAAGCTTTTGCCTGTATGGAGAGCAACGAACATGGAAAGTTTCGTTGATGTTGATCCTCGATCCACATGTTCAGCATTCTTTCCATATTTACCATAATGCCACTTCTGTTGCAAGTTAACTTTGCAGCAGATAATGGAGTAACACTTATAACACATGATTTGATTTTTTCTGCATTCCCACAAATTGTTCATACAGTTGTAACACTTTTCCAATTCTTTTTTGTGACCACAGGCTGTAGTGGTGCATACGTTAAGCACTCATTGTTCAAGAGCTCCAATAAATTTATAATTGCGTTTTAAGTGAATGTTGGGAAAGCATCAACCAACCACCGAGCAAATACTGTATGGCACCCACACCATGACACCAGTCACTTACACAGCCTTCGTACCGAATTTTAAAATTGTTGTACATTGATCATTTACATACTTTTTTTTTCAACGATGTTATAACAAAACAAACTTGACTGAAATGACATTAATGGGGGAATTAGTGTACACACATCCTGTACACGACAGACTTGGGACAAACACGCAGTTCTTCTCTCTCAAACTCTAAAGTTGTATCACGTTGTGGGCTTCATAATATGGTTCTGCAGGCACTGAACTACAGGTTGGGGACCCCTGGTATACAGTACAGTATAGGTACATTTGGGCCAGTGGGTGAGCAGGCTGCTCCACAACTCTATTGATGAATGATGAGGTGTGATGCTAATACATACCATATTTCCAAAATTAAGCAAACTATATTATATTTAATGTGTGTCTGCATTTGTCTGCATATCTCGGAATATAATGGGGAAATTTGATGTGTAACAACATAAGCCAGTGGTCACCTATCATCAAGCTACGGTAAGTGAAGTGTCACGTAAACATGATCATAACATCATAGCCCTAAACAGTATTTGTTAAATAAACATACAAAAACCAATACATAATTAATTTGAAGATACAAAATGTTTCTTATACAGTATTAGACTGCATGCTAGGAATCTCCCATAAATATTGCAACAATATACTGTGTCACTTAACTGAATACTTCCCTGTAAAAAGGGATCTTCATCGAACATATTGTATCTAGCTTTGGCAATGATTTCTAAAATTATGAGGAATATTGCACTAAGCTTTATAAGTGAACAGTGTATGATTGTTTAACTTGGGATGAATATTAGAACACTGAACAGCATAATTCTAGTAGCTTTTTCACCATGTTTTTATTTTTAGACTGCTTTACAGGTAAATGTTTGCATAAAACACAAAAATAGTACAGAACAGTTTGAAACAAGAGAGATAAAATGTCTTTAAATTCGAGGATAAGGAAACATGTAATGATTTTGTATAGCATTATGTGATTGCAGTGTATACCTGTACTGAGAAGTTATGTATAATTGCAGTTGTCAGGTAACATCATGGCTGACTGGATACCCGATGTGAGCAGAATTTCAAATCCCAGCCAGGGCAAACTATTTTTAATTTGTTTCTACCTGCCTTTTTCAGGTTGTTAAATTTTGACATCTTGCTGGATTATCCAGGAAATATATATAATCATCATTAAAGACTTAAATGAAAATATAAACGAGACATGCAAAATCATGGCTAATAATTTTATCAAGGAAGCTTCTCAGTGAAACCCCTTGATATAGCTGTGATGGGGCGGTCTCTCAGAATTCTCGCCCCAAGCAGCACATGGTTTGACCACGCCACTGTGCATACATAACATCTCTCTCTGTTTTTCCCCCAACTGTAATTGCTTGTGTAAGTAACCTTTTATGCAGGTGATAAGGTCCACCTGCTTTTCTTGACTGAAGGCTCAGCTTCATCAACCCCCCCCCTCCTCCTCCTCCTCCTCCTCCTTAGATATAGGGCAAGCCAGCTTCTAATTCAGCTTCTGGAAGCTATGCTTTTAGACTTGCTTTGAAAACTTTCTAAAGGCTTCAACTTCAAAGCCAGGGGTCTGGCTTCAGATTCTCATCTTTACACAGACACATTGATCATATTATTTACCTGTAATTTTAAGAAGATCATATTAAATATATCAAATTAGTGGTAGATCCAAGGGGGCACAGTTTTGACCTGACTTGACAAGTGACATGGGTTGTTGTGTTGGCACCGAAATTACTGACCAGCATGTCAGTGACCAGTGCCAACACGAGAACGTATTGTCATGGATCAATCAGATCAGAATCTCCACCTCAGGCAGTGCCGAGGAGGGTAAACTTAGGGTGAGGTCAGGTGAAATATGAGTTGGCCATGTGACCTTGATTTTACCTTATATGAACTGAAACGCACACTGATATCACAAGTTATCCCTACTGGTCTATTCTCACAAGGACCTGACCTAAGCATTGGAAGAGATCAAAGATAGTAAGATACCTTTGAATATATTATGATGATTTGTTCCAATGCTTCTCTGTGATTTTTTTTACTCTAAATTACTGTTTATGTACAGTATTGTATATAAAAATAAATTTAGTAAGATAAATTGTTACTATTAGTAACCTTTTTCAGGTTATAGGGAGAGTCAAAACTTACCCCCAAAACAATCAGCTTATCTCAAAGCCTTGATGTAACTGAGAATACCATACATATTCCCATCAACATAAGGTAATACAGTTTATTATAAAATTATGGTGTTAAGGTTTCACGAAGCCTTGATAAACCTTTGCTTTGGCTCCATGACATTCCAATGGCTTCAGCTTTAAAGCCACAGTCTTGGCTTCATCCCCATGCCTACCCCCCCATCACCTACAGCAACAAGGGAATTAAAGCCTGAGGGCCAGATGTTGCATCATGGCTGGCGTGTGCAGGCATCACAACGGCAGTTGTGGTGGAGGCTACGCAGCCCTTGTCTCTCACTGGAATCAGTTGGCGACTGTCTCCCAGCCAAAGCATTTACTTTTTATCAACTACCTCACACAAATAACATTCCTTATTTATACACAAATATAATATGCAAATATTAGACATGATTGTATGACACAATTCACTATGGTTGGTGGGAATAATCCACAAATAATATGACAAAAATTAAGATAGTGGCAACACAAATTTGAGCCAGACTCACCTCACTCTTTCTGATGGGGGGAGGGGACAGGTAGCTCCCATAACTTGGGTTGCCAAACTCTACCAATTGTCCACTTTTTGATACATTCAACACATGAGCAGTTTTTTGGGGAATATTTCTCCATCAATGGTGAACAGTATCCGGCTCCTAGAAATATAAAGTTTTGTTTGATGCTAAGTAGTGTTGACATCATAAAATAGTATTGATGCAGCTACATGAGGGGGTTAGCTTAGCATTATGTTTTTTAATCATCAGGTGAAATAATCGTCTTGTGATCCATTATATGTATATTTACGCTCAATTGTAGTTGTTTTATCTTTATCAGTTTGTATATTTTGGGGGTTCCTTTTCAGATAAGTGACATAGGTATTCAGCAGTTAGTGAGTGGAGGTGTTGGCCAAAGTCTGCGAGAGCTGCGTATTGATGGTTGTGTGCGACTTACTGATGACAGCATTGAATCAATTTGTCATTGTTGCACTCATCTCAACATTCTGTGTTTCCATCACTGCCCAAGACTGTCAGGTGAGTCACCATTGGTCATAAAAAGCCTATTGGCAGTTTGTTATTCAACCTCCATTTTAGTAACTACAGTCATGTCTTCACCAGTTTTAGGCTGTAACAATTGTCACCTTTAGTAAAAAGAGTGTTAGGCTCTTTGTTCACTGTGTATATTTTGTCCTGGACCATTTTCTTGCTGTTGATTTTTATGAATTCCTACTTAAAGATTTGCTGAATTTCTTGTCATTATCTTGTGCAACTGAGTCTTGCTTTAACCGGATCCCCTTACAAACCGGACGGGTCCAGCACCAGACACATGTATCCCCAACCCAGGGGAAAACAATCAAAATCCAGTTGGTATAGGGGAGGGAGGGTAATTCAACAGATGCATCTGGGGAGGCAGTAAAAGTGTCTTAAGAAATATGAATAGTGTACAGTACATAGTCAATGAAATTAGCAGTAAAAACATACTCTCCGCTCCACCTTCAGCGGCTTACATTGTGTATGTCATACAATCACCTCCTGCCTCATGACAATATAATAATTAGTAAGTACAGTACTTTATTATTAATATGTGAAAGGGTACTATTTTTTAATTACTGTATATGCTTATTGACCAATAAAAAGCAAAATATGAAGCAGAAAAGGTAAAGTGGGTGCTTTAAACGAACTATATATATATATATATATATATATATATACTGTATATATATATATATATATATATATATATATATATATATATATATATATATATATATATATATATATATATATATATATATATATATATATAATTTTTTTCCCAGATCGTTCTCGAGAGCTAGTGGATGAATATAAGGCCTGGAGGATGAAGCAGCTCACTTGGACAGTGTACTGATATGTCTGTGATACTCATACTGGAGAAACAATTTAACATTCTTGCAGCTGTCTTACACTGCTGTCTTTTTTTTAATATCAACCATGTGGGGCACCACAGTTCAGTTGGCAGTACTCTTGGCCCACAACTCAAGAAACATGGAATCAGTCCCATGGCCAGAGAGTTGGTAGGGCATTATTAACTGTGTGTGCTGAGCTGGCCACTCACCATATCAAGTCCCCAAGATAAGCTAACTTTAGGGGATGTTATCCCATATAGTGTGGGAAATGGAAATGTTAGCTTTAGCATTTCAGTTCTCTTTTCTGGTTCTTTAGATTTATTAATCTCTGACAATGCAAATCCTGACTTAATCGCTCACTGACTGACAGAAGTATTTGACCGACCCGTGTTGACATAGCTTGTGACCAATTCTTGATCTTTCTTCTTAGATGAATATAATGAAGTATGATTACTTACTACAGTACAGTACTTAGTAACATATTATCATTTATCTTTAATATGTGACATAGTAAGCACCAACAGTGTGTTTATTGTCTTGGGCCACCACAACAACTACATGTACAGTCACTCATAAAAGTAATGGGCCCCCTTGGGTGAGAGGTCTTGCAACTGGAAGCAGTTCAGTTCTGGTAACAGTGTACCTGATGCAGGGGGGGGTGGATCACAGCCTTCTGCATGAATCACTGCCTTGGGTCATGTCTCATAATTATGGCACTTGTATTGTATTCACCTTGTTTAGATGTTCATGAAATGTTACCTATATGCTCTCTGTTGGAGTCTTCCTCTTGGTTTTTTCATTTTGCAATAAATATCGAACAAATATTTGTCTGTATACGACCACAGAGGTTCACAATGTGACTGAACTTATATGAATAACATGCAGGGTATCCTTACCTCGCGATGTTTGAGACCATATTGCCCCTATGGTCATTTCTGCCCTCCCTAACGACAAGAAGAGGCCTCTCCCCTACATCCATTCAAACCATGGATATAAAGTGTAGGTATAATGAGATGAATAAGATTAATTTAGTGATGATATTAGGATCTTAGAATATAATGCCCAAAGTTAACATAATTATGGTGTTGTGTTCACCTTGTATTAGTTGTTCATGAAACGAGACATGATCTGAGGCAGTGATTCATGCAGAAGGCAGTGATCCACCTCCCCCCCCCACCCCTGCGTCAGGTACACTGTTACCAGAACTGAGCTGCTTCCAGTTACAAGACCTCTCACCCAGGGGGGGCCCATTTCATTTATGAGTGACTGTACCTCCTGCCCAAAATTCCATGGAAACTGTTGAAAAACAGTAACGGCTACTCATGTACTACCTATTATTATTATTATTATTACAGTATTGTTATTATTATTATTATTATTATCCTATTACAATAATGTTTCAGTACAGTACATAGTCTTAGTATCCAGCAGCTCAGAAGCCATAATAATTAGGAACTTTAGAGCTTCATAGAACCGGTAATACCGTGACCTTGTTTCAAAACCCAAATTTGGGTTTAAAAGAATTTCAGGGGAGTAAAATAATTCCAACAGGTATTAAACCTTTCAACTTCCTAAATCACAAGTATTATTTAGAAGCTAGAAATACAGTCGTCTTTTGTGCATTATCTCTGGGTCTGTACATTGATACCTATGGAAGACCTTTCTGGTCCTTTCTTAAATGCCCAAGTTTACAAAACTATTTGTCGGTGGTGTTGTGGCAGGCACCACCTGCTGGATATTAAGAGCAAACTTTTGATGAGATGAAAACAAATTACATTCAACTAAATTTGGTATTCAAATACTGTATGTATTGTTGTTATTATGGAGACATGCTTTAATCTATTCTTTTTCCTCCTTGTTGTTGTTCTTGTTCTATAACATCTTGTGTCCATGATGGCCTTTCAACCAATAACTATCTTGATGAAAAATTGACTACATATGGTATGTGACAAGATTTCACATTGATCAGAGTTTTCAAGGCCATGCACTAAAGATCAAGGACACATGTCCATACTGTATATGGTAAATATTGAGTTCAATAGCAGCAACTAAATAGATAGTCTGGGATTTGCATGTGTGTAGAATATGCAGATGGAGGAGGAAACACTGGTGTAGTGGTGAAACATCATCCTGCAGCATTAATGAAAGTGAATAAAAAAAATAAAGTAATAGATACAGTAAAATCTGTCAATTAGCCTATTTGCATTGTTTATATTGTACATATACTGCCGGTTGGCAGTCTCACAAAGCATCTTAAGACAGAAGTTGATGCTCGACCTGCACTGGGAATGATAGGAATTCATGACATGAATGCTTGAAAATTATTCACCTAGATCACCAACCTGACTATGGTAAACAGTGAAACAATTTTATTCTGGTATAATATGTATAACAAGTTTGTGCTGTGCATGTTGTACTCGAGTCTTTAAAGGAACCTTGAGTACAATGAGGTATGTTAGTGCCTTTTGTAAAACTTATCAATGAGAAGTTTGATTAATCATCATTGATTGATGATTCATCAATCATGGGTTCTTTTCAAAATACAGTAAAGTATGTTCACCTGCATGAATGACATAGGCAGATAGTGTGTCTGCTCCCTGTATCCTTATTTTCATTGACATCATCATCATTGTTTTATGGCCATTTTCCACGATTGTGTGGGTTAGCTACGATTACCTTCTTGCAGCTCTCCATATTGCATGTCTCTTGCAGTCTTTCTTGTCAGGTTCCTAACTCTAATGTAATTTCTTACATCACCAGTTAAGTAAATTTTAATGTCATGGTTTTTGCAGTGCTTATTCATGTGCTACTTTGGTTTCAGCTGAATTATAGATCAACGTATATTTGAATCAAAATATTCCTGCCTGAAAATGTTTGAAGGGATATTTTTGTAATGCTGTCAATTTTTAAATTGAAAATGGTTTACAGACATGAAGTGAAGTTCTATTGAATGCAGTACAATCAAGCTTCAGATAAGTTGATGAATTCTTTCACATTTGGTCACATTCTGGAAAGGTCATCATTCATTGATAACTCCAAAGTCTGGTTGATTGAATTACAGTAGAATTTTTGGCTGTCTTCATCAACCCAATGAATGCTTTTGCGAAATTGATTTATTGATTAGCAGATCATTTTTCTTCCTGACCTACTGGTGCTGGCCTCCCACACACCTAGCTTCTCATCGGCTTTAATGGCATTGCTAGATGTATGATAATTAATCAACTAAAACAGCCAGTGATCAATTCAGTGGTCAATCTTGATCAGATTCACCCTTGAGCTAAGCAAGTTAGTGAATGTTCAACATATTGCTGTTCAACAACTTCAGAAAGTAAAAAAAATGCCTTGCAGGTAATCTCATAATAGTTTGCATACTTGTAACTACCAAATTCATTCACAGCAAATTTGTAAAGTGTAATTAGGATTAATAACTTTTAAAATTTATTTTAGAATCAAATTATTATTTCTCTACCTACTGCCAGGTTTTCATACAAATATTTACAATTTCCATCACTTACCACCTTACTAGCAAATGGGCAATTAGTCTGTTGTTTGTTATGAGCTGCAGTATTCAATATTAGTACAGGAGGAAACCAGAGTACCAAGAGAAAACCATGGTAGGGTCACACTAAAAGGCAAGCATGATATCTGCATGTTACCTTGTTGGGCCATGTAGTGCTTCTGCATGTCACCTTACAGAGATTGTAAGTGGGTACCCAATAAACTACAGGCATTAGTAGCTCACACACACTTGTGTGGGCGAATTTGAGATCTGATTAGATAATGCCCTTCTCACTTTTTATCCAGGCTGGGGATTAAACCCAAGACACAATAGTGAGAGGCAATTTTGCTACCTTTGGACACTACCACTATTATGATTATGGTGTACTGGATGGAACCTCTTCACTAGTCTGATACTGTACTCCCTCTGGCCATAGGTGACTGACCACTCTTATGTAGTACCTGTACTATAATTCTGTAACTACAGTGGTCCCTCGGTTAACGAACAAAAATTTTATTAACGAAATCCTTACGAACATCACGTTTTGTTGTGAGCATCAGCTGATGGGCTAGTCTGTCAATTCAGTAATCTGTTTTATGTTTACATTCGTTTCCAGTGGAATAAATATGAAGAAAGTTGTGCTCTTTAATATTTTTGCATTTTTATATTAAAATTATTAGTCATTTTAACATTTATTTGGCATATTGATAATATATGCAGTACAGGGAACTAGTTTGTTGTGCGCCCATCAGATGCGCGAGTCAGTCACAAGGCGTCAGTTGGGCTTTGAAAACAATGGAGAGAGCATCTATTTTGTTGGTGTCTTGAATATTTTTGCATTTTTCATTGAAATTATTGGTAATTCTGAACTTTAGTTAACATATTGATAATATATAGTGCAGTGCAGTGTTGATTTAAAGAAAATAATCTTGAATTATACCGAGTGAATTAAAAATTTTATTGGTGAAATTACTACATCAAACATGGGTCCCCTGAAAGGTAATTTCTCCTTCATCCCCATTTCCTTCTCTTCTCCCTTCTCCTCCACCCCCACTTCTAATTCCCATCATCATCATCAACCAGGAACCTTCTACATACACACCTCAAAGTAAGTGTACTTTACTGCATTTTTTTTTTTTACTTTGTATGTACTTTTCAGTGACCTGGAACCAATTACCCAATATCCCATTGAAACAATGGATTCGGTTAACGAACGACCTTCTGGAACGAATTGTGTTCGTTAACCGAGGAACCACTGTATTTATATTAAATTTTAAACCATAGAAATATTTAAAATAAAAAAGATTATAAAAACATATCCGATTACTGTATTGGCGGACTAATACTACAGCTGGTGGGCAGCCAAATGCAGGCAAAAACATGTTGGGAAAAATTTGTAAGGAATTCGTTAACCGAAGCGAAGATTCTTATGGAAGGTAGGCTCTCGCGAATAACGTTTAATAGGTGCCTGAAAAACGCCGTTATTAGCGAAAACGTTATTTGTGTGACATTAAAATACATGTAAAAAGGGTTTATTGGTGCCGCCGCCCCAAGAATTTCACCCAATTTTTCCCCTTAGAAGCCCTCCTAACACTTTTTGTTTGCTGAAATAAAAAGAATTGTTATTCAATCATCAAAATAAAGAGTTTGAGTAATATAACACTTAGCTTGGGGGAGTTTTTGAGGTGCTTGGTGTGATGATTGTTCCGTATCTGAGGGCCGCTAACACTTGCACTGTCTTTCATTCTACAAGCTAACCATTTCAAAAGAAAATGCTCTGTTATCACTACAACCTGTTTCTATCACTTTTATCATTCATAGCTCGCCTCGCATTTCCATCACTACCGAAATATTTCTTAGCCAGTGCAATACTCTTCTTGGTCTCCTCTAAGTTCCTCTTAATATTTCGCACTGTAGACTCAGGACAGTTCAATTTCCTCACAATATCAATGTTCCGTGCACCACTTTCAATGAGCTCAACAATCTGTTCTTTATCCTTGACCGAGTAGGCACACTTCTTGTGGCTTTGTCTCTTAGCTTTGGGATCTTTTTTCTCATTCACTTTAAAAGTTCCCGGGCGTTCAGGCGGCAAATCACTCCCTCCACCACCTCCCCTAACCCCCACAGGCAAAAATGCGGAAGCCATTATTGA